CCGTGTTCTTGATGTATCCTTTAAACTGCACGAATCATCAGAATTACGCAAAACAATCGAACGTTTCCAACGGAAACCACAATCAGAAAAAACCAGCGCCTAGATATTTAGATCCACAGCATAAACGAAAGCATCAGTATACAGGAAAAAGCATTTCTTGCGGTAATATCAACCGACCGTTTCGGTGATTCCACTGCTGATGCGATCAGTTCAGAGCTATTCGTCATTTGGTCATCAATTCCCGTTGCATTCAGCGCCTCAATCCCAGTGATATGTCTCTTGTTGACTGCATGATGACCGTTGATATCAATAGACATTAAAGGGTTTGTTGGTAATGTCCCAGTGCGTACACTATTGAAGACGAACGGTGCACTCATTAATGGTGCAATACATCCACCTAGAGCTAAACACGCATGCAGAGCGAATAACGTCCGTACACCTCCACCTTTACCGTACATTATTATCAAAACGCCTGTAATATCGAATATTATTCACAGAATATCCAGTATATGATTTATGATAAGGTTTGACAATGTAATCTTCAATAGCGTTGCTACTCAATAGTTATCCAACAATTTTGCAATATTGTTTTATGATTGCAATGACAAAACGAAATTTCGTTAGAAAACCTATATGTCGACGTAGGTTGACGTGAAATTTGAGTAAACTCTTATAACTTTTGGGATTTATTGTTATTCTTATAATTTCATTGCAAAACGTAAAAAATTGTGGATTCAGGCTAAATCATGATGGATTTATGAATGCATAAAGGAGATATTTCACTTGGGCATGATCGAAATGAAAACGTAGAAACTAGCCTCGATGAATAGCACCAAGGAAGATGCCCAGCACGCATATATTTCTAGCACAAATACTCAGTGATGTTGACCACGCAATTAGAACGGTGAACGGCACGACGCCTAGCGTACAAAATAATAGGAAAACCATTGGGCTTATTCTTGTAAAGAGCCAACTCACTGCAATCAATAATGATGCATATCAGTCTCCAATCAATGCGCTGAACAAATTGCGCATATTAATCTCCAATCTTGATGAATCACGAAGACAAAACAATAAAATGAAACAAACTTACGAATGACAGTGCCGAATAACTGGCCTA